TGATAAATTGTAATGTGATTAAAATAGTTGAACATATTTAAGAGACAAAAATTTTTTATTAAAAAAACAAATGTAAGTATAAGATAACTTTTTAATTAGAGAAAAACTTGACGCTGCTAAACTGAACATATGCTAATCTAATTAACTAATCGTATTATTAATATTACTCGTATTATTTACATTTTGAATTTTTGCAGCGCCAAGTTTTTCTCTAATTAAAAAGTTACTTTATACTTAAATTTGTTTTTTTAATAAAAAAGTTTTTTTACTTAAATATGTTTCACTATTTTAATCACATTGCAATTTATGAGATACAATTTTTAATATTAAAAATAATACTAAATAAATTTTGTAACATAAATTTTTATTAGCTGACGCATTATTTTTATCATATATCTCACTATTTTTGTAAAAAATTAAAACAGCTATTATGTAAAACAGTTTTTTAGTTTAATTATGACAGTGTTTTTGTATTAAAATAACACTATTTTCTATAAGAATTTTTTACAACACATTGAAATAACACTATTTTGTATAAGAGTTTTTTTTTATAGTAAAAAGCGCTTGTGCGCGTGCACTTGGCGCTTTTCTTCACATTTTTTTAAAAAAGATAATTTTTTAGCAGTTATATTATTTTTTTATGTGTTATATACATGTTTTCCTACTATACACATGCTTACGAGCAGTCAGATAAAATAAATATATCTATTATATTCCTGAATTATAAAAAGCAACCCTTTTATTTCTTTGATTGATACAATATCTACTTGTACATTTCTTTAAAAAAAATTACTATAATTAAAATTAAGGTATATTACTATACGTTTGTGTTATTTTATAAATTGTCTGACTAATCCGTCTTGTATTTTGATTATACAGGGTGTCCCATTTTAAAAGTTCCACCCTCATAACATTTTAGGATCAACGTTTGAAGGAAAACGACTCGGATAAAAGTTGTAGGGAACAAAGGGGGCTATCTAATAATGACCTTGGATTTGACATTAAAGGTCATTTTCAAGGTCATTTGAAGGTCAACTTCCGTTTTTTAAACGGGAACCTCTTTAATGAAAAAAATACTTTATTATAGTGTTTTGAAAAGCTCTCGAAATAAGCTACAAGAATATGCAATAAAAAATAGAGGTTCCGGTTTAAAAAACGGAAGTTGACCTTCAAATGACCTTGAAAATGACCTTTAATGTCAAATTCAAGGTCATTATTAGATAGCCCCTTTTGTTCCCTACAACTTTTATCCAAGTCGTTTTCCTTCAAACGTTGATCCTGAAAAGTTATGAGGGTGGAACTTTTAAAATGGGACACTCTGTATATCAAAAGCGAAAGATGTAAAAAAAAATTCAGTGTATTCAAATGCATTTGTCAAAGGATTGTCATCATATAGTTATTTGTCATGCATTATATGCTTACATTATATAGTTACAGGTATAAGTAACATTGGTGAAACACAGTCTGTAAGATTAATGTGTATAAGTCTTATAAATTTCTATTTATATTTTATTTCTATTTCTATCTACCTTTTTTTAATAATTTATAAATTTTTATAGTAAATTTATAAATACATTTATTTTTCAATGGAACTAGAAAAACTTTTCAAGCTGTTAAGATTTTGACAAAGCCTACGGCAACATGTTTATTGCAAACCAACATATTGTAACCAATCCTTGTCTCGATGCTAAAAAGAACAAAATGATCAATAATATCAGTTTTAATAATAAATTTCAGCTGTCAAATAGATATACCAAATAGCATTCCGACAGATGGAAAAATATAATGTAACAGATCTATTATATTCATTAACGATACTGAAACGTGCTTCATCTATTTCAAGCAATGCATTAGCATTGAAACAAGAATTGACTACAATATGTTGATTTGCAATAAACATAATGCCACAGGCTTTTTAAAAATTTTATCAACAGCTTGAAAAATTCTTCTAGTTCCACTGAAAAATAAATGTATATTTATAAATTATTCATAAGACATGCATTAACCTTTACACAGACTGCGTTTTACCAATGTTATTTATACTTATCTGTAGTTATATATGATGCATGACGAATAATTATATGATAACACTTCTTTGACAAATACATTCAAATATACTAGATTCTTGTGTGTGTATGTCTGCCCAGTCAGCCACGTCTGTTCTAACAGATATTGCCAAGTACTTGGTACAAATTATTGTCAGCAAAAAGGCTACAAATTTGGTACAAGAGTTGTTGTTACCGATTAAGCTGGCAGATTGCCGGCAAGAACCAAGCAAAGCTTGCTAACATAACTAGACAGCAAATTGGCGGCAGAAACCGAGCAAAGTTTGCTCACATGACTGACATCAGGTTGTCAGCAAAAACTGAGCAAGATCTGGAGTGCGCAATCTGATGGCAAATTGGCAGCAAAAAACGTTATAGTAAACATATTATAGAATACACACATCTCTTTCTTATAAACATATGTATTGCGATGTTTTGTTCTGTTTTTACACATAGCATAAATTACTTTTGTAATGTTTTATTTTTCTCTAATATGAATGAGATATACCTGATCCAACTACAATTGATCCAAATACATTGCCATTGTTGCATGTGTGTCGTGTACGTGTATATATACGTAGCATAGTACCACTATATTCTATTGCATGTGTTGTGTACATATATAGCGGTAAAGAGGATAATGACGGCGACGGTGATGATGATGACGGTGATGATGATGACGGTGATGTTTCTTAAATGAAATTTTCCACATTTCGACTTTGCTTCGTAATATCTCTGCTTTATAGAACATGTAGAGCGAAAATAAAGACACTTTCCTGATATAAATCAAACCCAAGCTATCGATTAAGCCTATCAAGAATTCGATCGGTTCAGCCGTTATTCAGATCTAATAATCTAAAATACTCTCAACTATCCGACTTGCATATAGATACCCGGGGTGCCTTGCTGTTGCTGCGCGCGATCTTTACTTCGCGTGACTTGGCGCGAGACGCTACCATGTCTCTTGATTTTCGTATCAGAGCCTTTCTGTTTTGTTATTAATTATAATCGTTTAAAAAATTACCTTTTTGAGCCGATAGAAAAAGCTCTTCATATTGAAGTTTCACGATGGACTCTGGAATGAATTGCTTCGTTGATTGCACAATACACATCTACATTCCTTAAATTTTTTAAATTTATTGAGGATGACCCGAGATATTTAAATAAAAAATGGAACCAGAATCTTTAAATAAAATTGGTAAAGGTCTAGAAAAAGGGCAACCTCACCAATGACCTTGACCTTGAAATATGTTGTCAAGGTCAATGTTCTGAGTAACCTTCGGAATGTTTTAGCCGGCGGTTGTTGTTCCTTAAAAAGTTATCAACAAATTAAGTTAACAATATAAACATGTGTTTAACTGCATACTTCAAACTTTACCTAGTATAAATACCATATTATTTGCATATTTGCATATTTATGTAAATGCCTGGTCGGGGGAGAGACTCCATTTCTCCTCGTGCATCCCCACCCTGTTAAAGCAAAGCATACTACCTATTTGACTGTGACACAGTGGATTCCACTGTATGGCCTACCCACACAACAATTGGTTTGGGTTAGGTTATATCTTCCGGAAATGGAGCCCCCCGCAGGGGGGCGGCGAAACCTACTGTGTCCATGCATATACTTTACAACGCAAAGCAAGGTCCACTCTACAATTGTATGGATGGAAAAGTGTATGCATGGATGCAGTGGGTTTCGCCCTCCCTGCGAGGGGGCTCCACTACCAAAAAACTAGACACACAGGTTTGGATTGAATCTTGCTTCGCGTAGAAAGTTGTAAACCCATGTGAAACCTTGCTTCGCATAAGTGTAAATTCATGGAAAACCATTGAACTTATTTCATACATAACTTTTTAAGGAACAACGACCGCCGGCTGAAACATTCTGAAGGTTACTCAGGACATTGATCTTGACAACATATGTCAAGATCAAGGTCATTGGTGGGGTTGCCCTTTTTCTGGACCTTTACTATACAATCATAATCATTAAAAAGTTTTGTAAAAAACATTTTTGCGTCTTTTATCTAGGACTTGGCTCTTATTGCTCATTTTATTGGTTATTTATATTTTAATATTTAGTCTTTTCCATTTTTATTAACTTTAAATGTATTAATATAATATTGCCTTATTGTGCTATTTAAAATTTTTAATTAACTAATAAAGGCTCCAATGAATATATCATAAGAAGGAGATAAAAGACAATTAAGAGCCAGCGCGGTAATTTGTGCGCACATGTTTTATTACAATCAAATTACATTGATATTTTGATTACGTAATAGACGAAATCAGAAAAAGCGTTTCGGTCCCTTTTTTGGACCATCCTCAGCATAATTACAAAGTATATGGAATCGGACAGTCTCTTTCTGTCTCGAAATTATATTACATAACACACACATTTACCATTCTAACAACGTGGATGACTCACTCTTGTTCTGCGTATTGTTACTGTCACATTTTTGATATAATATATTCCATATACTTTGTAATTGCGCTGAGGATGGTCCAAAAAAAGGAAACGAAACGTACGCTTTTTGTGATTTTGTCTATCACGTAGTCAAAATATCAATCTAATTTGATTGTAATAAAACATGTGCACACAAATTACCGCGCTGGCTCTTGATTGTCTTTTATCTCCTTCGTATTATTAAGATTTTTAGCTATCCTTATGAAGAGGATAAAGCGATTGATTGTTCGAACTCTTCAAAAATTAGTCGATCAAAAATAAACGGAGTGCAAAATTCTGCATAATGAATATTTCGTGTGTGCGTGTGTGTGCGTGCCTGCGTGCGTGCGTGCGTGTGTGTGTGTGTGTGTGTGTGCGCGCGTGTGTATGTGTTTTTTTTTATATGAAACATTTAACATTTACATAACATAAAATAATCTAGTTTTATAAAGTAGTTTAATTTATATTCCACAACTGTATTTCGGTAACAAACATATTAAAAATCTTTTTAGCGGCAAACGTGAACGAGTCCTGTTTCTTTCACGAGCAATGCGAAGCACGAGTAAGCGAAACGGAATGCCGCGATGGTCGATGCATCTGCCTTTTCGAGAAGATTCCGATGATACAACCTGACGGTATAATTTGCGTCGGTAAGGAATAGAATTTTTAAGAAACAGAATACAATAACTTTAATTAAAATCCTGTCATAATGCCCACATATTCTAACATGGCTCGGCAGGAACCAAAAGTATAAGATTAATAAAACTCTGGCTTGTTTTATTTCAATGTCTTTCAGAGATAGCAAAGATATCTTTTTTACATAAAAGATAAAAATAAGAAAAAATATGAAGTAACGTTGCAGTTTGCTGCCATTAGTATACATTAAATACACCAACATAAATGATCGAAGAATATAAGTATGTGTACTTACTCTTAACTCAACTAATTTTGTTAAAAATAAATATATTTCTATTTTGTGTTTATTTTCTAAAGATTAAATAAAAGGGAAAAAGATTTAGAAATCACAAATTTATTTTTTTTTAATTACTAATAAAAAAGATGTTGAAAATTTTTAAACGGGAAGCGATTATATTTTACGAATGACAGGACTGAGATTTCGCACGTTCAGGTACGGCGAAATAACAAATGAGAAAAAGAGCGCTTCATTCATAGAGCACTTTTTTCACTTGTTATTTTGCCGTGCCTGAGCGCGCGAAATCTCAGCCCTGTCATTCGTAAAATATAATCGCTTCCCGTTTAAGAACTATTATAGCCTCGACATTTTTGTATTAGGATTTTCGTCTTGAAATGTTCTAAGGAATCTGCCATTAAGAGGAAGTCCGGTAATTTTAGGACACCCTGTATATTCTGTATATACATTCTCTTTATATGTATATACCATATATGTACATATCATGTACATCCTCATATAGCACAGAAAGATCGCAGATATATCGCAGAATAATTTCATTGAATGATTGTAAATTTGTTGCGAACTATTGCTATAAGATTGCGGCAACATTAAGATGTCTGCCTTTAAAAAGATGCAAGAAAACGTTGTAGCAACATTAGGATGCAATATATTTTTAATAATGCAATTAAATAAATAATAAAATAATTAAATTTAAATAATTTTAATTCGTGAAATTCAAATTTTTAATCATGTGGATATGAGAGACAGAAATGTTATGTATAACAAAATATATACATATTATGTATGTGCAATGTATGTATTTAAAGATTGCATAATGTATGTATATATGATGTATAGCAATGCATATACATATTACGTACAACAAAGTATATACAAATTATATACGTGCAATTTATGTATTTAGAGATTGCATAATCATTTAAATGATCTTCAATAATGATGGGCCCTATTAGACGATTACCGATTATACCGCACCAGATATTCACTGAAAATCGATTTTGAAATTGTGTTTTAGTAATAGCATGAGGATTTTCTTCTCGTGGTGACCAAACGTGTGAGTTTCTATTATTTGTAATGCCGTCGGTAAAGCTTCGTCGGTAAATAAAATTTTTGTATGTATTTGCCGATTTCTTAAAAGCCAGTGACAAAAATTGACACGTGCAGGATAATCATTTGGTTGAAGAGCTTGAACATTCATAAAATGAAATGGGTATAAATCATAATCACGCAGTATTTTCCAAATTGTCGTTTTAGAGACGTTAGTTTGCGCCGAAAGTCTTCTGATACTAATAGTAGGAGTTCTGTCCACCGTTGCTAGTATCGCATCCTCGACTTGACGATGTCGCCTTAATGGTCTCTCAAGATTTTTATTTGGGACCTTACCAGTAAATTTAATGCTTCGGTGGACATTGCTAAAAACTCTTCGATCTGGTACTCTGCGATTAGGAAACCGTCGGTGATATTCTGTTACTGCTGCACGTGCGTTACCATTACAGAAACCATAAATAAAATGAATATCGGCATATTCTTCATTGGAAAATGTACTCATGATTGGTAGGTAAGAGAAATTTCTAAGCTATGTTTATGCGATGTTTTCACTTAAAACGACAGTCAATTTATTAATATTATCTTGTGTGGCAAGTGTGGAAAACAATGAGTTATGTCTGAAGTTGCCGCATTCGCTTCAGCTCATGCGGCAACTTCATGCGCAACGTAGTTCTTCCGCACATGCCATACATACAATATTTTTTGTAATGCCTGTTATTTCCGCACTACTAGTGCGGTAAGATAAGTCATAAAGGTGATTTTTCGCATTAGTGTGAGAAATAACTACTTTTGCATTTTTTCGCTATTACTTCGAAACAAGCGACTTTAGGGCATATGTGTATTAAGACTTTTTGATTTAGAATGACACAAAGAATACACAGTTTCAGTGTGGACATCACGTTGCGGGACACCCTGTATATGATGTACAGCAATGTATATACATATCACGTACAACAAAGTATATATCATACAAATTATGTATTTACATTTCACATACAATTTATATATATGTACTATATGTACATATAAAATTCATCAATAAATATATATATTATACATGTTTTACATCCTCTGGATACCCTCTGGATGTTCTCGGGATGTCCTCGGATTTCTTCTGGATATATGTATTGCTAGGACATATATATTGTAATGTGCATCCAAATCATGTATATGAGATGTATGAACATTTTACATGCAAAATATTATTTTCATGTCATGGAAATAAGATGTATATTCATCGTATGTCCAATATTATATGAGAATTATTAAAAAAATAATATAATTTATTTTGATATTTTGTGTATATAGGGGAAAGTAGGGTAAAACCGGGTACCTTCTTGGATTTGTCTTCCTACAAAAAATCTGAGAGTAAAAAAAATTTTGCCGACCGTTAGTAGTCTTTAGTGAACCTTAAACTATGAGAAAATAAGCGTAGTCGCTGAAAAAAAAATTTTGGTTATCAAGAATAATAAGATTTTGTGGAGAAGTCAAAGTACCCGGTTTTGTCCTACCGGTAGAGTCAAACCGGGTATCCATTTGAAAATATGCAAAACATTGTGTAATTACAAATCACAAATAAAGATATCCTCTTATTCGACATTGCTGGAGGACTTCCTTATTTAACTTTTTAACTTTAGGGGTCTCAAAAAGCTTTTTTAGTGGTTTCTTTTTCTGAGCGTTAGTTTTCGTTTCCAACTGCTTTTTGTAAGGACACAAAGTCAGGATAACAGTTCTTCCTCTTTTCATTATATGAGATATGTAAGTACCCGGTTTTGCCCCAACACAAGAAAAGTAACAAATACAGCGGTTGTATATTCCGACGTACAAAGTGCCGATCAAAACTAATATGATATATTTTCTAATATGTACAGAATGCAATGCTGCACTTACCAAAACAGATGCTTTATATAGAAAAAGTGCACGACAACTCGATTCTTGCCTCGATATCGATCTTTTTGAGCTAAAAACTTTGAACTTCTATTTAAAAAAAAATATTGTGTGCATAGAGGCACGGTTTGTTTTAAAATAATGATGGCGCCAATCTACAACTAATAACACAAGTTAGTCATAGATAGCAGCATTAATTACGAAAAAACAGGAGTACCCGGTTTGACCCGCCTACCCGGTTTTTTTTTTACTGGTGCGGGAGGTGAAAATCCATTATGGATATACCGGGGACGGCCCCGGGTTATGTCCGACCCTCACGGACTAAAAACACCCCTCTTCATGCAGTCTTTACAGCCTGCAGGACCTATCGACGAACTCATGGGATATGTTTGCACATTACAACCATGAGTCCGTCAGTCACAATGTGCGTTGCCGCACCCTACCCGTTGCCCCTTAGTGGGGCCCGTCACCTACCCTGGATAGAGAGGAGGGAACGGAGAAGCCTAGGCTACCTCCATCCCCTCCTCCCCACCCCTGTCAGCTCCCACGTTGTCCGCAGGAGTTGCCCCCCTTTTTCCCGAATGATCGCCCCTGTGGGCTGACCTTCCGGTTTCTCTTTGTCGGCTCTTCTCCCCCTTCTCTTCGAAGGAGGAGGAGAGCATCCCTTGCTCCCGATCCGATGCCCGGCCGAGCGCCCGGTGTCCGCACAAACGGGACACCGGGGCTCGGCCGTGCAGCGGGCCGCTATATGACCTAGTCCTCCGCATCTATAGCAGAGGGCAGATCGGTCTTCCTTCAGTGCACCCCTGCCTCAGGTGGCCAAATTCAAGGCATCGGTAGCACTGGGTGGAGCGGGCTTTGAGTAAGTCCACTCCCACCATAGTCCAACCCACTCTAATCTTCCCGGCGATGGTGGCCTTTCTGGCTATCCCGACGGGACACCTAACCCAACAGGCCCCCATCCCCGAGGGGGACCTCCAGATCTCTCCGATCCGGATGTCCCCCCCCCCCGGGGTATCCGCCCAATGCGGCTAAGGCCGCCACTACCTCCCCTGGAGCGATTGACCCATCGATACCGCGCAGACGTAATTCCGCACATCTCGCGGGACGCGTGACTTTAACCCCTTTGTCCTTGAGGACTCCCGAAAGAAGGCCGGCCAATTGGTCAGCCTTCTGTACCCTGTCCTTGCCAGAGATCTCAATCAGGGCGGCCACCCCCTCGGGCCACCCTTATACGAGACTCACCTATCTTGAGGGTTGCTAGGTCCATTCCTTGATGTCCCTCCTTTATGGCCTCCCGATGCGATATACCAGCCCCCAGACAACATTACTGCCGCCGTCCCAGGAACACGGGGAGCCGGTTTCTTCTTCCTCTTCTTGCGCGCTGTCCTCTTCTTCTTCAGTTTCCGCACCTTTTCAGGCGCGGTTTTCATCCCTGTGTCTCCTTCCCCGTCTCCGGTGTGGAGTCCGGTGCTGGCAGCGCGCATGCAGCTCGGCGCTTCTTCCCAACAACCGTAGCTCAGGTCTCCCCCGCCGCAGCGGGGCAGGAGGGTTCGGCCTGCTGGTGCTCCCCGGTTGGGGCCTCGAGAGGAGGGGGGACCGCAATCTTACCCCTCTCTGCTTTGGCCCCAGCGGCCGGAGCCTCAGGGTCTCTGGGGGCAATCTTTAAAGCTGGGCCCCGCAGGCCCATCCTTCTCTTGGACTGGCGGATATAATGATCCACCGCCAGTTCCTGGAATCTCGCCGACGGAGTCAAAACTGGGGGAGACTTCCGTTTCGGCTTCTTCCTCTTCTTGCTGGAATCCAGGAGTGGGGAGAGTGTCTCCCGTATCCGGGTCTCCAGTCGGGCCTCCATAGCCTCAAAATTCCTCCATATGTCCAGTTGTTCTTGACCGGTGAAGTCCCTGTGAAAGAGATCCTCGGCAGAACCAACCGACCCCCCCGGAAGCCTACCCGGTTTTACCCTACATATATAACATAAAATATATAATATCTTGTAACCGACAAATAAGTGACCAAACGAAAGGTGGAGGTAGATTGGGCCAAACTGAGTCGAAAAGTTCTAAACTATTTTTTTTATAACGCTTAATAAAGGAATTATTATTGAGTAAAGTCTGGCCAATCAGCGCCGACCTTTAGCCGGGCGCATGTCGGTGAGCCGCGCGCCTGGTAGTTGCGGCAGCGCACACTTCACGGCGCGCGGCTCTCCGACGTGCGCCTGGCTAAAGGTTGGCGCTGATTGGCCAGAATTTACTCAATAATAATTTCTTTATTAAGCGTTATAAAAAAAATAGTTTAGTAAGCGTTATAAAAAAAAAAGTAGTTCCGGACTTTTCGACTCAGTTTGACCCAATCTACCTCCACCTTTCGTTTGGTCACTTATTTGTCGGGCACCCTGTATAATATTTTTTAATCACCAATATGTTTATCACTTATCACAAATGTTTATCGCAAATGCCTAAAAAGTTGTGAATACTATTACAATAAATATCCTTTGTGTATGTATGTATATATATATGTATAAATAATTAAGAATTGCTAACCATTTTTTTAATTATTCCAATCGAATTAATTGCTGATTTGTACTTTATACTTATATTTAATGCATTTTTTTTAATTTAATGATTGTTTCTTGTTTTATCATAACAATAATAACAGAGATACTACCGATTTAGCTTTTAATCCTCTTAGGATACACACGCATATGCACATAAATTTTAATTTACAAACTTCTAGTCTTTTTCATGCAAATAAACCACTTTATTTTCAGCCGAAGTTAAAGAACCAACCAGCATTCGATACATTGATCCGGCGATGATCGGCGTTCTCGTTGGCATGGCACTGATGTTTATCATCATTTGCGTCGTTCTTAGACTCTTCAGCAAGTAAGCAAAACAATTCGATTGGATATTAAACATAATTATCGTGTGCATTAAGTGCAGTCGCTATCTTAATAAATGCGTAATAAATGAAGCATACACACAGAAAAATATTATTCTATTGCTAAGTAAAATGATTACTCAGTTTACTTTACTTCTTTTAAGTAACAGTTATCTTTAACAAAGAATGTTTTCTTAATAGTAGTCTTAAAATAGACTTGTCACAAATTTTAGAAATACTCATTATCATGTACTCAAAAAAAGTAAATATTTTCTTTTGAAGAATATTATAAAATTTTATCGAAGAAAAGTCAGATATGGTTAATTTAATGTAAGAAAATTTATTAGATCAGAAAAATTTAATGTATTTCTTTCAATTATATAATTTAATATTCTTGATTGAAGTATTAAATTTATTAGGATTCAGAATATATTTTGAATAAATTTGATGCTTATGATAAACTTATGATAGATTTGCGGATATATGAACTTATGAAATACTTGAAACAAGTAATATTTACTTGTATATAGTATGTATTTTTCTGTGTGTATAAATATATAAATATATTATAATATAAAAATAAAGCTTTATTATAATATAAAGCATATAAATATATTATAATACAGCACACCATGTACCGTTTATATGGTTTCTTTTGTTTAGAATTGAACTTCTTGTACTTTTCGATTTTTCCTCTCTTTTTCTCTCCAACTTACATACATATATAATTTCAGTTTTAGTTCATCTAAAAAGAACAAATCTATAAACATATTCTAGTGAATCCCTCCTCTTTTATAAGAACTATAAATGATTAAATCGTCAAATTTACATGTACAAAAAATAGAATAAAATAAAATAGAAATAAAATTGGAAATCTAATTTATCTAATGTAGATATGTATTTAATTGAGATGTTTGTGACTTTATTTTTTAAAAATTGCAATGTTGATATGGAATATACGATAAACGCTATAAAATGTTTTATAGAACATTTTGCATTCTAAAATTTTTCAAAATATAGTTATTGTATGCCATTATGCATTGCTGCTGGAAATAAAGCGGCATATTATTTTATTTACTATAACTTATCATAGGATAATGGATTTGTGTGGACTTTAACATTTCTAAATTAACCTTGCTTTTACGTACATTGTTGTACGATTATTTATACGAGTATACTGATAGTATATTTTCAGAATTTTTTCCTTTATTTTCTATACATGTGTCTTTATCTCCTAATTTTTAAAACACAAATACATACACATATATATGTATACAGTGAGAGTTAAAAGTGAGTATATACTTCTCTTGCAAAAATGAAGTTTATTTGATAATTTTTATACACATACATAACATAAATTATAGGATAAAAAAATTTAAAGAATGCAAGTTTAATATTAGATTATACAAAATTATTCAAATTATAGAGTTAATGTACAATGTAGAATTGTCCAATGTTTTTAGAAAGAACGAATCAAAAATGTATATCCGTAAAAATAACACAGTTCAACAAAAAAAAAACACCGAAACGGAACTAGTCGTTTCTTATAGGTTTTTAGACGCTGAACACGAATCCGGTATCGAAATAGCTCCATCACGTCAGAATTTTGAAAAATTTGCAGTTAAAGTTGCGAAAAAGGGCTATTTTCACGAACTTTGTCATATAATAGCTACAATATGCTAGAGAAGTTTTATTACAATCAAAATAAAGTATGTTGTTAGGACTTTCAACCCTCAAAAGGAATTTTTGGTGTCGGTTATGGTTAATAAGATATCCATGGTTAAATACGGGGTGTATTGCAGAAGTTAGCTGTGACTTAGGTCATTGACGATTTACCAAATAGCTTTCAATTATATTTAAACTTAAGAGTTTTTTAGATCGCTGAATATGAATCCAATGTCAAAATTGTCAAATTCAAAATGGTGGACTCAATATGGCGGATGTCAAAACTTAAAAACATGTTTACATTGCAATTATAAACATTTGAGTGTTCTATAGTGTTATAATCTTTGATTTATCTAATCAATTTTATTTTTAAAAGATATATAAGTATTTATATAAGTACATTTACTCTAAGTGTACATATATATATATCATATAGTTATATTATACGTGTAAAAACTATCATATATGTATATACTGTCGAACTGTTAAGTTTCGAGACTCGCTTCGCATTTCCGAACGTTTGATCCGTTTGTGCTGCCACTTTAGGGGTTATTCACAATTCAATACACAACACGTGGTGCAAGTTTTAAATTATTTGATTCAATAGTTAATGAGATATGGTCACGCAAAGTTGTATTACAAAATTTTGTTTAAGTATCAGTGTAATGGAAAGAACACTTGACAACGCGCCAACATTAAATTCTGCGTTAACTTAGTGAAGTCTCCAACAGAAACGTTACAAATGATTCAACAAACCTAGTCCTCTGAAGCAAGCCCTTTCAAAATTTGATTCCCGTTTTTTTATGTCACTAGAACAACACAAATGCGCGCTGTGCGCGCGCTTTTATTTATGGACATTTTCCAATTTATTTAACTTTTCTTTCCTAACTTTAACTTTTTCTGTCACAAATTGTCAAACTGTCAAAATTCTCATGATTTGACAGTTGCAAATAACACGAATAAAGCAAGTCGCAGCGCACAAGCGAGATAGCCAATCAGCATCGCGGAAAAGCAACAACAATAAACTTCGATATATGCGAGTATCGACTTTACATGCCTTTTTTATATAGGGACTAGCACGCAGCGCGCGCTACGCGCGCGCCTTCCATATCCATTACCAATACACTTTTATTCTTTTTCCATTAAACATTTTTTATGATATATACACAAAATCATATACGTCACAGAATAAACCAATATAACTGCCTAATATCATAAATATTATTACCTAATATCATATTCTTCCTCCTTCTTTTTTCCTCCGGACTCTCTTTCTCTTTCTCTTTCCCATCTCCCTCTCTCACTCTCTCTCTTGCAGAAGTTAGCTGTGACTTAGGTCATTGACGATTTACCAAATAGCTTTCAATTATATTTAAACTTAAGAGTTTTTTAGATCGCTGAATATGAATCCAATGTCAAAATTGTCAAATTCAAAATGGTGGACTCAATATGGCGGATGTCAAAACTTAAAAACATGTTTACATTGCAATTATAAACATTTGAGTGTTCTATAGTGTTATAATCTTCGAGACTCGCTTCGCATTTCCGAACGTTTGATCCGTTTGTGCTGCCACTTTAGGGGTTATTCACAATTCAATACACAACACGTGGTGCAAGTTTTAAATTATTTGATTCAATAGTTAATGAGATATGGTCACGCAAAGTTGTATTACAAAATTTTGTTTAAGTATCAGTGTAATGGAAAGAACACTTGACAACGCGCCAACATTAAATTCTGCGTTAACTTAGTGAAGTCTCCAACAGAAACGTTACAAATGATTCAACAAACCTAGTCCTCTGAAGCAAGCCCTTTCAAAATTTGATTCCCGTTTTTTTATGTCACTAGAACAACACAAATGCGCGCTGTGCGCGCGCTTTTATTTATGGACATTTTCCAATTTATTTAACTTTTCTTTCCTAACTTTAACTTTTTCTGTCACAAATTGTCAAACTGTCAAAATTCTCATGATTTGACAGTTGCAAATAACACGAATAAAGCAAGTCGCAGCGCACAAGCGAGATAGCCAATCAGCATCGCGGAAAAGCAACAACAATAAACTTCGATATATGCGAGTATCGACTTTACATGCCTTTTTTATATAGGGACTAGCACGCAGCGCGCGCTACGCGCGCGCCTTCCATATCCATTACCAATACACTTTTATTCTTTTTCCATTAAACATTTTTTATGATATATACACAAAATCATATACGTCACAGAATAAACCAATATAACTGCCTAATATCATAAATATTATTAAACATTATATTTAATTCAACAATATATATTTATTTATATTATTACCTGATATTATATTTCTTTCTCCTTTCTCGTTTTTTTCTTCTGTCTATCTCTTTCTCCATATCTTTTGCTGATTCTTCCTCTTCTTTAATTTTAAATAAAACTTCTTTCTTTCTCTTTCTCTCTCTCTCTCTCTCTCGAAAAAGCATCTAGAGAGTATATATAGAAGCGCGTGCTTTTCTCTCGTTCTCTTTTCCGGTGTACTACCCTAGAGTACAGAAGTGTGTGCAATAATGTATTTTTATAAACGAATATCGTCAGTTTACTCTCCAAACTCTCTTAATATCCTGTTCTCATTTTACGTATTTCGCAACAGGTTATGGGCCCAGTCACCCTAATCGCGAAAATTGTTTAAAAAGGAGAGTTTGTTGTGAGAGTCGTGTTGCGAAAAATTATTTTTTGTGTGTGTAACAAACCGAGACGGTGAAAAATGTCGGACGAGATGTCTGCAAGACACATCACCAAATTCGACGGTACAAACTTTCAAGCCTGGAAATTCCAGATGAACTCGATATTCATCGCGCATGGTATTCACGATATCGTGTCGGGTGCGCGAGTGATGCCGGAAGACGACACGACAGCCCTAGCAAAAATGTGGATCAAGGAAAACGCAAAAGCCATGTTTCTTATATCATCTTCGATCGAGTATAGTCAGTTAGACTGTCTGCTGATGTGCATGAAAGCGAAAGAGATGTGAGACAAACTCAACAATATACATGAACAAAAATCGGCCACAAACAAATTAATGTTAACGCAAAAATTTCATGCCTACAAAATGGCCGCGAGTGATTCGATAGTGCAGCACGTGGCCAGAATACAGAATATGGCAAGACAATTAACGGACATTGGCGAAGTCGTGTCGGATGTGGTCGTGATGGCAAAGATATTGGCAAGCTTGCCGTCGAAGTACAATGCTTTCCAAACTGCTTGGGACAGCGTGAATCCTGTTAACCAGACACTAGAAAACCTGCAAGAAAGACTTATGAAAGAAGAAAATCGGCTAGCTGCAGATGACGATGCCACGAGTGCGTTTACCGC